CTCTGAAATTGGACCAAATTAAACAAAGGCCTTGTTTGGGAAGAACATTTTCAATTAGTGTTAGCGTTTTGGATAAAATATTAACAGTGTAGATTAATTCGAAAAACGCTAACGCTAAGGGCTATCGTCAGATAGCCTTCTCAAAGCGCTAACGCTGATGCCAAACAGGCCAAAGTAAACAATCGTTTACTAGGGTTAGCAAACTATCATCTACTATGCTCAGGCAGCCTTCCGCTCAACCTATTTTTTCGGCTTATTACTTATTCTTATTATAATCAGATCAGATCACATCAGACCATATCAGATCATAAACAACTTTAAATATAAGTGCAATGAGATCAGATCATATTAGATCAGATCAGATCAGACCAGATCACATTTTTAAAAAATCAGATCAGATCAGGCGAACAAAACGCAACCTCAGTAACTATATTTTTAATTTGGTTAACTCGAAACAAGTTTTGAACATTTGACCTCATAAGGACTTTCTCTCTTCTATTTTTGGGACTTTAAGGGCACTTCCTAGGCCTTTTTGGGTTGTTCAGGTATGCTTCTTGACCATCTTCTTGTTATGTTTAACTTTCCATTCTTTCCCCTCTCTCCATTTTAATTTGGTTTGAAAATTTTTTTGCACTCTTGTTTTATGATTTCAGACTTTCAGATAATTGTACAATCTAAAAGAACTTTTAAAATGTGTTAATTAAACCATTCTTTTTGTCCCATCATTTTGTACAAATATTTCTATGTTATTTAATCCCTTCATTTCTAAATAACTTTCAATTTTCCTTCTTTTGATATTTGATCAAAATTATATTAAATTTAATTAATTTAATATCAAACTGTGGCACCATTTGACTGCGAATTATGAAAAAAGTATATTTATCTATAATGTAAGATTAGTAAAATTGGATTTATTTTAAAATATAGTATTCAAATATCAAATTTTTATAATATCTAATTATTTAAATTATATTTAATTCATGGTCAAAAGATGTTACAGTTTGACCAAAAAAGTCAAACTATGATAATTTTTTGAGGACGAAGGGAATCTATAATCTCTGAAAGACTGATTATGGAAGAATTTTCAAAAATTATGAATTATATTTGTAATATTATAAAATTAAGGTCTAAATATAGAAAATTACTTAGGATAATTTACCTCAATAGGACTAAAACATAATGATTCAATTAAATGTCCATCATCACTTGTTATTACTCTTCTCACTAGTCATTACTAAATCCTGTTTAGAGATAAAAAAGGTTAGGTCTTACATTGAGAAATGACTTATGTTTTAGTCTTATTAAGTGCAAATTTCATAATTTTACTTATGGATCAAAATATCCTAGTCAAAATATTCAGTGCAAAACTTAATAGCCCGGAATTAATTTTTTGGTTTCATCAAGTCTAGGCAAAAGATTTCCAGTTGAATTCTTCTCCGGTGCAAGTTATTGTGGGTGTGGCAGTTTATGTGGGCCGGAGGTTTTTCTTTAATCACCCACCACCTCACTTTTTCTTCGTCTTTTTCTTTCTACCTGCGTTCTCAATCCAAATAATTCGTGCGCTATTGGATTTTTGCTTCGGATCGAAGATTCTTGCCAAGCTTTCTCCGCACAGTCCAAGTGAATTTCCACACAATTTGGTCAAAACAGTGCGCTGTGGTTTCAATCTGTTGGATTTGAATGCACTGGAGTTTTTCTTTACAGGCAAAAAGATGGCATCTTTCAGCGGTCTAATAATCGGGTTGACCTTTTCGGTAGGTTTTATTGTGATGGGTATTGCCGCAGGTTATTATTTGTTCTATGCCAGGAGGAGAATCCATGGCGGCGAGAAGAACAATCAAGAATCCAAAAGCTCCAATGGGGTTTCTCTTCTTCTCCGCTGCAGAATTTCCAGGAAAACAGAGGCAGTAGAAGAAGAAGGAGATGGAGAAGAGGTCAACCCAGAGATTGACTTGGAGTTGGGGAAGAGCAGCGATTCTCTGCTCAAGGGTTTAGGAGAAGAGAGTGTGGAAGCAGAGCTGATGAGGCTTCACAACCTCTGTGGGCCTCCAAGATTCCTCTTCACCATTGTTGAAGAAACCCATGAAGATTTGGAATCTCAGGATGGGAGACCAAGAAACAAGAGCTTGAGTGACCTTTTTACCCCCATGTCCTCACCCCCATCAAAGCCCCTTCTCCACTTAGATTCCTACAACCCGCTCTTCGAATCGTCCACGGACGCGGAGATCCATCGGCTGAGATCGTCTCCCCCACCCAAGTTCAAGTTCTTGAGAGATGCAGAGGAGAAGCTGATCAAAAGACTGGTGGAGAAAAGTTGCCCAGTTCAAGATTTCACCTTTAATCCCCCTGTTGTGGCTGATGAGTGTAAAGTTGGGTCCTTTATGTCATTTCTTGCTCATAAGAGCAAAGAAAGTGATCTTCAACACCAACATTTACCACTTCACCATTCAACTCCTTCACAGGTACTTCCATTGGCTTCTTCACCT